AGATGAGTGTTATCAAGATATATTAGTTTAATTTAAAATTCCATAGTTTGTTAAAAATACCTTTTTAGAAAGTATTATATATTTAAAACTTATTTAGCTAATCCCTTTACAATCCTAAGAATAGCCTAATCACCACTGCTCTAAGCTTAAAATGCTCTTATATTGAAAGGAGAATTTGTAAACTATTTAGGTATAGATTTAAGATCTTTACTTAAATCAAAGGGAAGCATATTCTTGGATGCCTAAATATATGAATAATAATAAAGGAAATGAATATTTTTAAAAAACATATCATAAAATAAACAATTTAATTTTATCATTTAATTATTTAACTTTATTAACACTTTATGTATTTAAAAATTCCTGTTGTTTAACATTATACAGTTAAATGCTTAGTTTGCATTTTGATAGATATGTAATTTTGATGTAAATCTAATTTTAACGCATTAGATTATTAGACATCATTTAAACTTCTTATCATATTTTGAAGAGAATTGTCCCTTTTTCTCTATTGGTCATTATTACAATATAACATTTTTTTCGTACATTATTTTTTTCTTGTTTTTCATTCCAGCGGCTTCCCAGAAAACTCTGGTTCTCCATTCATTTAGTAAGTCATCGAAGCACAAACCGAATAGCATTGGTGCTATTTATGATCCTTGATGTAATCCATTCTTAAAATATATTCTTCTTTTTTATATAGGACCTCAGAAGTACATTTCATAATATAATGTCATTAAAAATCTTGCTGGTATTTCCTCCATCCATCTCCTTTTTATTATTATATAATATAGTTTATCTCTATTTACTGTATGGTATGCATTTAATATGTCTATGAATATCATCATTTTTCCTTCTCTCTTTGTTCTAGCATACTCTGTTAACTCCCAAAAATTCATCTGCACTCCTAATCCCAATACAAAACCTATTTAATTTCTATCAATTTAATTACACGCGATTGGACATATATAGGTCTAATTTAGTTATTCTTCGTATATTAGGACTTAGTGGAACTAATCTCATGCTGAATGTATATTTTATATTCATCAATCTTTAAATTTCTAGTATGCCAATATATTTCTTTTGTCTTTCTTCTTTTGTAACATCCTCTTTCCATCTGGTATACCTATTCCAAATAGGTATTATATCTGCTAAACTTGCCCAATCAAATGATATTTCTTTAAAGTATGATTTGTATCTGTCTCCTTCGTATTTATTTACTTTTTTTTTTTCTTTTTTCCTTGCGTTTATACTTTCTTTCTTTTCTTCTTTGAATTCTGTTATTTCAATTGAAAATTTTTCTCTCAGTGTTCCCCAGTCTATTTGCATTATTCTCTTTCATTTTCTTACATATCTGTCTACTTCTCTCATCTCGTATTGTACTATAATTAAGCTATCCAGTGCCTCTTGTTATTTTTTATAATCAGTCTCATACTCTCCTCCTATATATTTTGGTACTCTAAATTTTACTACTTTGATTTTTTTGGGAATGTCCTGTACTTTCTCTATTAATTCCCAAATTTTTTCACAATTTGTGGACTCTATTTTCACATATTTCTCTATCTAAGTTTGATCAAAGTATGGAAAGTGCATTGCTGCCCTTTTGGGTTTTTGTATTTCTATTCTTACTGATCTGTGATATTCTGTTTCTTGAAACTTAGTTCAAAATTGCTGTTCAAATCCGATTTATTTTTGTATTTTTGTCAGTATATATATTGAGCAATAATATAAATGCATTCAATAAAATTATAAAAAGATTAGAAAATCTGTGCAATTGAGAATAGAAAGAATGACGATTTAAGCAAAGTCAATAAAAAACGCGTTTGATGTAATTAAATCAATTTAAGAGTACTAAAATTTCTAATCTTTTGGATGAAGTAATCCCTTGTAAAAATTATATCTTATTCAATATGTTTAATCAGATACATTTATAATGATATCTAAACTTGGGTAATAATATTAATTTTATCTGAGAATAATAAATATTAAACTGAAGTAGTTATTGATAAATGAAAAAGATATATTAGATTATATATTTAAAGCGATCTTAGAAGCAGATTTCCATTTATGTCTACTTGAAACTTTGGTCTTAATTTTGTTTTTAGCAAAGAATTTTGATTTGAGAAAATTTTTAAATAAAGCCTTGATAGCAAAATAAAATAAGTTTAAGAAATTACTGAAAATAAAATGAAGAAATCCAGTTGGATTAATATATGAAATATGAATAATTCAATTTGATAAAATCTCATATTAGAGTAACTTGATATAACTACCTTAGCACCTAGTATTAGCGATAATTTGATCTGTTTATCGGATGTTAAAGAGAAGTTAATAAATTGAACATTCAGATGAAAAATACAAAGAATTGTAGTATAATTTAAAGCTCCCTAAAATTCAAATAGTTCTCTGCAGAAATGAATATTTTTGAGCTGACATACACTATGATCATCCAATTAAGCTTTTTATTATCTTGATGTAATAAATGTATAGAGTTTATAATTTCTTAAGAAGCTAAATAAGTGAGAAGTCTAATAAATAGAAAAAATAATCATGATCATCCAATTTTACTTTTTTAAATCCTTTTTAGCATCCCATAAATGGATATAGTTATGAAAACTACTTCATCAATTAATAAAAAATTAAATACACTAATAATTGCATCACTAAAATCAATTGGTAGCATCAGTTAAATTTCCATCATATTTATTTTTAAACATTTAAAACCAACATTTCAAAATAAAGCGCCTTTATTATTTTAAATATAATGGATTAAATTAAAAAAAAATCAACGAAGTATTAAAGAGGGGTCTATTGGAAGTACAAATACTACAGCGAGGAGCTAAATGAAGAAACTTATGTGACAATAATGATGCAACAATACCAAACAGATGGTGTAAAAGCCTTTTGGGGTTAATATTCTATAAATAACTAAAATAAAACATGTTTTTTACATTGTATTGCAGGTTTTGGCAAACGAGTTTCACCCAAGATTGTAAAACTTAAGTTAAAACTTGGCGATGTAAAAGTAAAAGCAATTAAGAAGTCTTTGTTAAAAGATGAAATTAAAAATTGTTTAGATGTAAGAATAAGAGTTGCAGGAACTCAATACATAGGTTCAGATTCTTTAAGGAGAGATAAACAAAAAGAAAAGATTCAAAAAGAGAGGGAGAAAGAATAAAATAAGATACATTAGATAATAAATTAATAAATATAAACAGAGGTTTTATTATAGTAAATTTTTAGGAAATTTAAGAATCCAATTAATAATTTTAAATTTTATCATAACTCCTTGATTCTAATCTTAGAATAGAGTAGAGAGGTGTTAAAATAGAATAGCAATTGGAAATAATTAGAAAATTTTTGGAGAGTATGTAGCAGGAGAAAATTGAACCCTATAAATCTTTGATCTTTTTAGATTGATTAATTATCATCCACTATATAAACCTATACATAATATATCTTAAAAAGTTTAAAGAAAATCTTAAAAACCAATGCTTGCCCGACATTAAGAGCAAAAAGGCTAGTTTGATTAGTGAAAATTTTTTTAGATGTAATTTTAGTAAAACAAAACATTTTAACAGAATTATGAAAGTAAATTCATCCTCTATAAGATCTCAGTCACTTCTAAGAATTTAAATAGAGTAATTATATTTTTAAAGGACTGGATGAAGTGAATCGATTATAGTAAAATAGTAATTCTCTTTTTAAAAATCATCAATTAAGGTTATGTATATATTATTGTAAGGACAGCATATAATAATCATTTAACCTTAGCGATTGTATTTTTTTAAATTTTGATGATTTTATTTTCATTATATGAATATCTTCTTTGATTATTTTAAAATTATTATTCTTAACAAAATTTCATAAAATTACAAACATAATATCCATATGAATAACCATTTCTTTGTTAACCTGATTAATTGTGAATTTCAACGTTTTTAAAAGTTATCTTTAGTACTTCTGCCAAAGTTTATTTTAAATTTTAATCGAGTATATAAAAATCATAAGAATATCATGTTGAATCAAAGATCTATACTTTTCCATTTAAGAATTAAGTAATAGAAAATACCAATGAAAATTGTTTTTGTTGATTGGATATTCAATTTTTTTATATATCTTTGTTATGTCTAATAATTCTTATTCTAACAAATTATTTGCTCTTTATTGAT